AGATAAGGTAAGTTTCAGTGGCAGGGCTAAATCGAATTTCTGGACAACGATATTTTCTATCGCATACTTTGTGCTGACGATTCCCCTCTCTCATTCAATTCCATACGCATATCAGGTATTCGACTTGACCAAGTTCAACCCGCTAGCGTTGGATATTGGCTGTGGTGTGGGTCATATTGCTCCACACATGATCAAAGAGAATGTAGGCACCCTTATACAGTGCGATATGAGTGAGGAGATGGTCAATCGGAGCCATGGATGCGATGATAGTGAAGTAGGTATTTCATGGTTGTTATGGGTAACGTTGAGCAGTCCTCAGTTCAATAAAACTTTTGCTGATTTTACCGACTAATTAGGTGGTATCACTCTCATGTACTACTGTGAGGCTTATACGCAGTCGTGTTCGCTGCGGGCGTGGCCGGCGGCATGGGTTCTCGTTTTCCGCCACTCGTTGAAACAGATAAGCGAAAACAGACAACAGACCACAGTTGGTGGAAAACAAATAATACATATGATACAGTCTTGTCGCTTGCTCGCCGCAGCAACTGGTGGGAAGCGGGGTTGGCTCCGCGCCAAACCCATACCGCCAGCCACGCCCCATCTTCCGCAACAAATACGATTGTAAATATCGCGTTCAGTACGCGATTAATGCAGGAGCGAGCGTCGTGTTCAGGTAAAGATTGAGCGAGTCGTGTGTGATGAAGAGAAATTAGAGCCTTTCAAAACAGACCAATTCGATCTCTTGTTGTCTTCGCTGTCTGCACATTGGATCAACGATCTCCCTCAGTGGTAAGTGTATTGGTCTATAAATGCAGGAATCACCCTATTCCCTGGGATCTCCTTCTATTTTTTTCATGTCGATATGGATGATTTGTACTCCACAGAAAGCTGTGAAAGCCAGTTAGGGGATTAGAATCCACAAAAAGACCAAAAAAAGCTGTTGCTGTGTTGTCAACTTCTGGCGGCTACCGCGGTGCAGTGAATGCGCCTTATGCCCCAGAAAATAGGGTAGTTACGAATGGTCCACTTTTTTTCTGGCTTTCTTCTAACCGAACTTAATTAAAGTAACTATTATTACTATTAACTAACTGAATTTAACTTTCAATGCATTTCTAATTATTCTCAAACACCTTCAATTGATGGAGTGCGTGTTAAGGTTTCATCGCTGTTACGAGATTCTCAAGCCCGACTGCCCAATTATTGGTTCTCTCTTTGCAGAAGACTCGTTATTTGAGTTAAGATGCTCACTTCAGTTAGCAGAGGTGAGTCATTCATATTTTTAATAATTCTGACACCATTATCTGGGAACAGTACGACTCTTCACAGCTGTACATTGGAAAATATGTCGGAGAAAAGAATACTAGCAATCTCTAAGATGCTGCTATAGCCATAACCAAGATGATATAACAAATTTGTTCTTCTAACGTTTCGGTGTATCGCCTTACTCACAACCTGGAGAAGTCAAAGATCAGTGTGAGCTACCCCCGAATATCACTTCGACCGGATCAGTTCGTCCTCGACTAGAGAGGTCCAGAAACTTGTCATAGGTTACAATCACAATGTGACTCACCTTGAATGTACGGCAGGTTTTGCTTGAGACCACCGCTAAACTGACTCCCCATGGGTGGCTTCAGCTGACCTAGCCCCTCGACTGAAGCCGATGGCAATTGAAGCCCACACAGGTCAGCAAACGGGGCGAGCTCAT